AGTATCTTAAGATGAATTTTATGTAGGAGGTAACAGAGTATATTTATTAATCTTTAATTACTGCTTCACCAAGAATTTTTTCACCTGACATATTTTTAAAATGTGTAGTTTTATAAATTTTATGAATATAATCCCAAGATAACATGAAGAAAGTTTTTTCCCCCCTATAATATACAGAACCAGCATCATTATAAAAGTCTCCAGAATTGACCTAGGCACTATATAAAAACTATGTAAATTCTGTTGATTTAAGGTAAGACAGAGCTCCGAGAAGCAGCCACCAAATTTTTGCATGGTACCAATTTTATTCATAACTAGGTGGGAATAATGCATTACCACAAAATATGAACCAAATTTGTTTCTAAGGATCTTTCAGAAAGATAGTTTAAACTTTATGGTGGCTCTTGATTTTTAATTATGACAGGGTACTGCAAAATATTAGATTTGTCAGAAAAAAAAAGGATAAAGAGATCACACACACACACACACACACACACACACACCACGTACATTCTGTGTCTCCTATCTTACAAAAAGGGTAGCATGCTTTGTGTCTTACTTTTTTCATACAATATGTCCTGGAGATCACTCCATGGCAGTACAAAGACTTTCCCCCTTCTTTTCTATAGCTGGGTGGCATCAGTCCATTTTGTGGATGTACCATAGTTGTTAACCTGTTATTTTTAAAGGATATTTGAGTTATTTTCAATTGTTTGGTATGACAACTAATGCTTCATGGGATAATCTTGTGGATATGTTGATTATATTTTTGTAAAGTGTGTATTTAGGGAAAATTGCCAGAAATGGGATCGCTGGGTTAAAGAGCAGACACATCTGTAATTTCTGTGATATTACCAACTTGTCCTCAATAGAAATCACATCGTCTGTAATCCAGCCACAAGTGTCTGAGGGTACCTACTTCTGGACATCTGGGCAATGCAGTGTGGTCAGGCTCTGGGATTCTTGCCAACCTGATAGGTAAAACATGGGGCTCAGTGTAGTTTAATTTGTATTTCTCTTATGAGATAGGTAGATAATATTTTAATTTGTTTAAGGGCTATTAGCATTTTTTGGTTTGTAAACTCTTATTTTCTGATATTTCTGTTAGATTTTTTATTATTTTATTTATTTGTTCTAGGCCCTCTTTGTATATATCCTATTCATATTTATATATAATAAGTATATATGTTTTTTGCCATGCAATCTTATTTTTTTTTAATTATGAAGTCAAACTTTGCCAATCCTTTATTTTATTTTATGGCTCCTAGATTTTAAGTTGTGGTTAGAAAGGCTTTCCGACTCCCAGGTTATAAAGGTATTCAGTCATAATTTCTTCAACTTAATTTCCATTTATATGGTTTCGATGTTTATATTTAGACTTCTGAGCCATTTGGAGTTTATTCTGTACTGATCCAATTTTATCTTCTTCCAAATGGTTATGCAATTGTCTCAGAATCATTTATTAAGAAGTTCTTTTTCCCAGTGCTTTGAGATGTCACTTTGATGATATATTAAAATTCGACATGTACATGGGTCTATTTCTAGACATTATAATCTGTTCTATTGGTCTATTTATGTGTTGGTAAGTTATAGTGTTTTAAAAATCTGATAGGACTAGCCACCTCACCCCCTCTGTTTTACATGTAAACTTTAGAATGAACAGATCTAGATCCAAGAACTTCTTGGTATTTTTTTTTTTTTTTGAGATTGTGTTAATTAAACTTTAGGAGAATTGATAATCTCAAGAGCATAATGTATCTTTCTGTTGTTCACACCTGCTTTTATGTATTTAATAAGAGTTTTATAACTTTCCACATGTAGGCCTGCACATTTCTGTTTGAGTTTAGACATTTTCCCTTATCTGTGATTTATATATGAAAACTATTGATTTATGGCTTAATTGTCTGTGCTGTTACTTGACTAAATTATAGTTTTTTCCACTGATTTTCTTGGATTTTCCAGTTACATCCCCAAGTCATCTGATAATAATTTTTCTCTTCCTTTCTAATTGTTTAAAAAGTTATTTATTTATTTATTTATTTATTTATTTATTTATTATTTATTTTATCCTCACCTGAGGACATTTTTCCATTTTTTAATTCAGATAGAGCTGGAGGGAGAGAGAGAAAGAGAGAGGAAAAACATCGATGTGAAAGGGACACATCGAGTGGCTGCCACCCACATGACCCACCCAAGGCTGGAGACAAACTGCAACCACGGTACATGCCCTTAGTGTGAACTGAACCCCGGTCTCTCTGGACCGCAGGCCAACGCTCTAACCGCTGAACCAAATCGGCCAGGGCTCTTCTAATTTTTATCTTTTTATTTTTAATTTGATTGAGCTAAAATTTCCAGTGCAATTTATATAGTAGCAGAGCTTTGTTCCTGACTTTAGTTGGAATATATTCACCCCCTTTTCAGCTTCCCCAAGGCTCGTCTGTGCCCTACTAGGCCTGGCCATTCTCTATGCTTCCAACAAGTCTTCCCCCCATCTTCCTAGCCTCCGCCCGATCCAAATATGCTTTCCTTTGGCACACTTACTGAGGGCTCTGTTTTCCCTTCTGATTTGCACTTTTGTAAGTGAGGAAAATTCCTTTGTATTCAGTTTTAGTCTTTCATCAGGCAGCTTAAATCTAAACCTAATTCCTATTGTTAGTGTTTTAGTAGAAGTGGAGAAAGGAAGAGTTCTTTTAGGTATGAAAAATTTTCCCATGTTTTAAGACTGTTGTAAACATATCCCTCTGTCCTTATACAATCATATACCTTTTCTATGGACAATTAAGATGCAATTAATAAAGCATAATTAATACCTTTCATGGCTCTTGACAAAGCTTTTCTTGCTCTCTTCTGTTCTGTCCTAAGCTTTATGCCAGCTGGCTATGTGCCTTTGATCACCAAAGTAGCCACACTGTATCGTCGGTGTGAACTTCTTTACCATGCAGAAGATAGACAGGATCCCAAACTATCTTATGAACAAATCTTGCGAAGGTTGAACAAAACCGAGACGAGTCTTACTATTGGGAAACAAATAATTTAAGATCAAATTTAAATTTTCTGTTTTGAATTTAACCTAAAGCCTAGTGTGGATAGCATAACATTTAAAAATCCTTTATCCCACAGAACTTATATGCATGTATGCATGACCAATGGACATGGACAACTAAGCCAGGGACAGGGTGGAGGGGGGGTGGGGTGGGGGGTGCCAATGGGGTAAAAAGGTAAAATATCTGTAACAAAAAAATAAATTAATTAAAAAATTTAAAAAAAAAAAAATAAAAAAAAAAAAATAAAAATCCTTTATCAATGTTTCTGAAAAAGAGACTTTTTTTGCCCTGAAATTTTATTATAATATATAATGCTCATATAAATTTGACTCAAAATGACCCTTCTAGTATATGAAATATCAACTCAAACAACCTAGTCTATAGCAGAGAAGGCAAATAGGTTTTATCTCATGCCAATTTTAATGGACTGGCTGCTGAGAAGACTCTGTTAAGAATAGTTCTGAAGTTGAATCTGTGTTCAGAGGAAAGAGTGTTGTGATGTCTGCCAAGGGCAGGGATGGAGAAGTGGCCTAGGGCCTGTTTGAAATATCTCACCTATCCTTCAAAACCTTAAACCTATGAGATGAGCATTTATCAACCATGTTTCAGAAAGTAGCCCTTTTATTTATGTTTAAAAATGTCTTTATTGTCTGTAAAGAAATTTTATGTGTATTTTAATGTGTCCAAGTCTGAATTTCTAAAGGCCATCTTTTTTAATGGTTAAAAATGAAAATCACTAAACTATTATGAAACACTTTATGGACGCTCTGGTAAGTAATTTATATGGCTGATAGCTTGGCTGGTCTCTGTCCTGTGGGGATGATGGCAAGCTATTGCTCAAGGTCTGCACAAATTGGCATTTATTAACTTGGGATCAAGCCCTCAGCTCAGCAGACTTAGAAACTTAGTTTTGTCATTAAATTCAATCCATATGTCATGAGTGACTCACAATAACCAAATTCATAAAGCGTATTTGTTAATTTGTGCTGAGAAATTTAACTGGAACAGGTACAGAAAAACTCTAGTCAGCCTGATTAGCTCATGATTAACTTGTAGTAAAGTTACTTGTGAAGCCAAATATTAATACGAATGTCAAATTATTGATTTATAATAAGAAATAAAACTGTCATTAGAACTAGAACACTCAAATCTATTTGACTTGCCTATCTTTTCCTTGTAGACATACCTACATAGGAAGTAAAGTTATATTCTTTCTTTTTTAAAAAAATTGTTACTGACTTTTTAGAGAGAGAGGAAGGGAGAGAGATAGAAACATCAATCGGCTGCCTCCTGCTCGCCCCCTACTGGGGAACAAGCCCACAATTTGGGCACGTCCCCTGACCAGGAATTGAACCATCCTTGGGACGATGCTCAATCCACTGAGCCATACCGGCCGAGCAAGTTATATTCTTTTTTGAGCATTAATTAGGACAGAGTTAGATTAATTTGATGGTCTTTTCAGTAGGTTTTGTTTTGGCCCAAACAGAGTCTTCCACGTATAAGCACTTGAATCAGTGGTGCCAAAGTGTAATTCCTGAGAATTCTTTATTTATATGTATTTGATTGGATGGTTCCCTTTTGATTGACATATTTAATAAAGCATCAGCATATAATTAATCAAATAGCAGCCAAGTTTTTCAGGCCTGACTTCCATTTGTCTTTGTTTTGTTTTGTTTTTTATCCTCACCCGAGGATATTTTTCCATTTTTTGCACAGATAGAGTGGGAGGGAGAGAGAGTGAGAGAGAGAAACATCGACATGAAAGGAACACATCGAGTGGCTGCCACCCGCACGACCAACCAGGGCCGGGGACAAACTGCAACCCAAGTACATGCCCTTAGCGGGAACCGAACCCGGGTCTCTCCGATGCTCTAACTGCTGAGCCAAACCGGCCAGGGCTGACTTCCATTTGTCTTTGACAGTGACTTTGCATCTTTACTCCAGAAGACCATCCTACAGCTCTGATCTCCAGGTTCTTGTGGAAAGCCGGACTAGCTCATAACTGCTTAGAATTCATCTTACTGAAGCTTATTTTTAAGTGAGTAACCTGAGGATTATTTAGTTATCTCAATTGTTTAAAATGCAGATACCGCAGAGTAAGGGTGGAGAGAGACAGATAAAGGTTATGTGTTGTGTGCAGCACAAAGAAAGGTTTTAATGGATGTTAATATTCAGTAAAATCTTTCAGAAGTGCACGGCTGTTTGTACATTTTTTTTGCTGCATGCTCCAGCGTTAGCCCTCAGACCTCCCATGCAGACAGCACGTATGCTCCGCGGGGCTGTGCTGTTAAAGTTAGTATCTAACGATGTGTGCTATTAGTCTGTGGTAATGTCATAGAGAAGCTGAACTGGACTCAGGATGCTAGCTAAACAGCACTGCAGTGCTTATTAAAAATGGAATTTTGTTTCTTTTCCCCATTTTATTGGAGACAATGTTTCTAAGATTTTTCTTCCTGTAAATGTCCACATTTCTCAAATTCTATTCTACTCAACCCTGGAAAACAAAAGCTGACCCCATTACCACAATTTCATTGGAAGCGCATACTATTAAGCTTTACAGCAATACTTGCTTTTCTGTAGCAATTTCTAGTTGAGGAGCTCTACATAAATACGGCTTTCCTGTCTTTCCTTTAATTGGAATCAGGGGTGGGGGTTTTAAAATTTACCTTAGTTCTGTGGTCTCTTACATGGCTTATGGGGCACATCATAAAATTATAATTGGTTATGGCGACAAGTATTCTTTTGTATGAAATTGTTACTGTTGGGGTAAATTCACAGATATAGTTTATAGGGACTTACTCCTTCTTCTAAAGAGCACTAGGGAAATTTACACAAATTTTTCATTTTGACTAGAAAAAGACCTTATGGTTATATAGTAAGATAAAACAATACAGAGCATAACCAAAAAGTGCTATTTTTAAAATTAGCTATTTTTGAATTTGGGGGTGGGGGGTGATCAAATAAAGACCATTTTATTTAATAAGACTGTGCTGCACTCGGATCATGTGTGTTAGGCACCTGGAGACCGTTGGTAGTGCTTCAAGGAGAGGAGAAAGGAATTCCCAATATTATTCCCTGGGGTTTGAAGTTAGGAAGATCTTTTGGAGGTGAGTAAGGAGCCTCTGACTAAGGTAGGTCAGAGAGGGAACTGGGACAGGTGGACAGAGGGGGACAGGAGTGGGCGTGTGGGTAGACGGTGGAGGTGGTGGTGGACACCGAATCTTCGAGGCAGTGGATTCTCCAACCGATTCCAACTCTTTTGGGACCAGTTTTTATGATGGGAAGGGCTGTGTGTGTGAACCCAGACCTGAGCCCTAAGAATGGGAATATGTGGCATTTGGGCTTATTGAGAAATGACTCTCTTTCTACTGAGCATGAGCAGGAGGGCGCCTTTCTGACATCAGAACGAGGACGTAGGCTGCAGTTCTGTTTCATTCCTGTCTTTCAGGGATTGGTTTGCAACTGCAGGAAACATTTTCTGAGCTTAAGAAGTATTTTGCTTCTTTGAAATCTGTTTCTCACTTCAGAGACTTCTTATACCATATTTTTGTTGTAACCAAATGTTAAGTTAGACTTCTGTTGATGAGGACTCACAGTTGGGGACAAGAAAGCATCAAGCACATCAGACAGTATGAAACAATTAGGGACAGACCTTGCCCCTCCTTCTGGCACATGAGGTAACAGGCTCTGCGGCTCCTAATCGTGGCCTCAGCACCAACCTTATCACTGTCCCCTCTCCTCCCTGCCGGCTGCTTAGGCAGAAGACCAGAGACGAGGGTGGGAGAAAGGAGAAGTACTGGTACCGAGTCATCGGCCTGTGGGAGAGGGCGGTGGTTTTCCTCTTTCTCATCCAGGAGACAGAGGAGGTCCTCAACACCCTAAACTAAGTGAGGGGGATTTACTCGTAAACATTTTTGGGCTCTGCTTTGATGTTTGCTTATGCTGTAGCTTGGCTGATCCGTCCAGTGCCAATCTGAACAGGAGAGTAGAGAGCTGGAGAGGTCCGGTGAGGGGCAGCGGGGAGCAGCCCAGACGCCCAGGCTCGGCCCATAAAGGATGCCCGAGTTTCCGACCAGTCAGATGTGAAGGTAGCTGGGCCTTAGCAATCTTGACAGGAGCCTACTCAAGAGAGCTGGCTACCAGGCAAGGATATCCTGGCAGAAAGATGTGAAGGGAAGGGTCCTTTAGGGGTGCAAACCGAAGTGACATTGGCAGAGGACAAGCTGGACACAGACTTTCTGCCTCGTGGAAACCACATTGGCTTAATGAAAGCGCTAGCATTTGGATACCCGCCACACAGAGCTCGTTCGTATCCAGCTTTGGGCGAGAAAGGATAACAAGGGGTCAGATGAACCACTGTCTCTTTCCATCTCTTTCCCCCTTGCCACAGCAGACCTGGAGAAAGGGTCAGAAATGGGGCCGGAGGAAAAAGGAAAGATCAGACCATTTTCTTTCCCACTCTGAGTCCTCAGGCTCAGACAGTACTACAGGGAAAGGATGAAGAGAGCTCAATGTTGGAAGTTTCATTGCCTATCAGGTTCATAGCATTCATGTTTTATATCGAAAAATGATCCAGAAAGTTGTGTGATTGTTCTGAGATGTTCGCAATGGATAAGACAGGGAGACTTCAGCTAGGAGAGCCGAAGGCAGTGCTTGGAGAAATATGGAAGCCTGCAATGTTGGTACCCTGCTGGGGTCGGAGTTCTGAGTTCCGGAGCTGCCTCGTGGAACGTGTTCCATAGACACCACTTCTCCTCTTGATTCCTGCCTGTGAGTTGTTTGTCACCAGAACCTACTCCGTCTTCGCCTGTAGCACAGATTCCAGAAGTTCTTTCAGTCCCTGTCACCTGCGCTTCTTCAGGGGAAACCCTTACTCTGCCCTGGTGCTCTGCTCACCGTCTCCGGACACACCGCCTCCACCTTCCCTCACACCAGTCCATCTGCACGAGCCCTCGCTCCACGTTCAGGCCGAAGGAAATTCTGTTCATATATTAATGTGTACTTTTAAAGAAATAGGATTTAAAAAAATTATACATGTCTAATTTCTCAGCTCTGTACTTTGGAAGTACTTATTTTTTGTGCTAATTTTTTTTTTTAATCCTAACTCGAGGACATTTTTTCCATATTTTGTTCAGATAGAGTCAGAGGGAGAGAGAGAGAGAGAAACATCAACATGAAAGGGACACATCGAGTGGTTGCCACCCGCACGACCAACCAGGGCCAGGGACAAACTGCAACTGAGGTACATGCCCTTAGCGGGAACTGAACCCGGGTCTTTCTGGACCGCAGGCCGACGCTCTAACGGCTGAACCAAACCGGCCAGGGCCTTTTGTGCTAATTTTTTTACCATCATTAATTTTCCTAACTTGTAAGTATAAAAGATTACCCAGCTTCATGATGAAATACTCAAGATTGAACAAAAAACAGAAACCAAACCAAACCTCACAAACAACCCCCCCAAACATACCCACTTTGATGGGACTAGTAGAAGTGAGAAAAACTGTTATTTCAAAATGGAATAGATTCATTATTTTGAGGGAAGGCCTTTGAAGGGATCTTTTAATTGCAGTAAAACTCCAGCAACAACATGTATTTTAATCCTCTAATGGTATGGCAGCATAACCAGAACAATAATATTGCTATTTTGATATAGCAAAACTTTTACATAAGATGAGTGGTATGGTTGAAAAACTTGTTATTTTATACTCTGAGTATATGTCTGTTGAATTATTTTAAAAAATATCTGTAATGGTTACGGTAGCTCAGTGGGTTAGAGCATCGTCCCAATGTACCAAGGTTGTGGGTTCGATTCCTGGTCAGGGCACATATAAGAATCAACCAATAAATGCATAAATAAGTGGAACTACAAATCAATCTCTCTCTCTCTCTCAAAATCAATAAAAAAATACCTATAAGGGGCAGAGCATTATGCTGTTGTCTAAAATTTATGCACTCTAAGAAATAAGGTCTATAACTTGTGAGCATTGAGGGAATTCTGTCATTAATCTAAATTCTTGTATGTGGGGTAAAGGGAAGTCTGCCTGCCTCTTCCCTCAGATGCTCAAGCCTGAATGGAACCTCTCTGGAATTGGCTTTTCCTACAGTACCAGCTAGACTTGAAACAATGAAAGTAGCATATCTGATCACAAGCAGTTGATCCCAGACATGTTTATTGATGGCACTATCAAGGAAAACAGCATACTGACATACAATACAAAGAAACTTGGCAGACTTTATAGTGGCAATTCAGTTTTGGCATTTATATTGGTAAAAACAGATTACAAGGCTTAGTGCAGCTCAAACCTTATTTAAGCTTGCAAAATGTCTCATTTGATCAGTTGGCATTCCACTGAGAGCAACACCTCTATCTCTAGGAATTCCTCTTATGCAGCCTACACGGGTGTAGTGCCTGTACTTTGCTTTGAGTGTTAATATAACTTAATATTTTTTTCCTTTTTTTTCTGGTTGACCTCATTCAAAAGATTCTAGTCACCTTGCCCCTGTCAGTGCAGCTTAAAATTTTTTACTGAACAGTGACACTTAGTGGCTAGAAATAGTCATTACAGTGCTCTTCTGTAGGAATCTCCATTAACACGTCCCATGGTAATAAAGTAAATGATACCAAAATTTTGTCTTCTTGGCAAAGTGATATATAGTATTTGAAGTGTTGTTGGTTTTGTAGCAGCTGTCATTCCATACCAATCCATTTAGTTGAAAAGCAAACAGGTGGCTCACACATATTGTTTGTACTACATAAATTTTTAAGTTTTCTTTAGTCCCACTGAAATAAATGGGGCATTTTTGCTGTTGATTTTAATTTACCGGAAGAATATATAACAATGCAGTGAAGCTATTGTTAGGAGCATTGTTCAAAATGCTTGCTTTCTTCTAAGCAGGTATCTATTGTCTTGAAATACGAGTAAGTATTTTAAGCTAGACAAGTAATTTATACTTATACCCATGAGACTGCAAAAGCAAAACAAAACAAAATAAAAAACCCCAGACAAAAGATTACCATGTCCTTAATTAAACCCTTTG